TCTACCGGTTGAACATCAAACAAAAATATGAATTTCTACATACAATCAGATTATAATGTAGGAACTATATGTAAGTATTAAAAAAAAATAAAAAAATTCGTAATTGTAATTTGCTAACAGGCACACTCTCCACATTTGTTGTAGCTCTTTTTTCACAAGTATTTGCATTGTGCCCTATTGCACCACACTTGCTATATTTGATGTGTGTTTGTAGCTTTCTTTCCTTCTGAACACCTGCATTATCACTTTTTTTGTTTCTTATCAGCCACTTCATGTGCATCCATTCTTCTAGCCCTTAATGGCCTGCCTAAACCTCTACCAAAATTTGGAGGTTGGTGGTATGTAAAAGCTCTTATCCCACAACATTTCACCATTTATGCCGATGATTGTTGGGGCATATACCTTCTTATAAGTCTCAACACTATTACATATGGGTCCAAAAAATCAAATGGATCCAACTTTGCCAAGTATATTGCACTGCATGCATGAGGGCAGGGTATGCCAGTGAGTCCCCAGTTTCTACAAGGACAAGTACACTCTTTCAAGTCCACATTGTACTAACCACCATTAAAGGTTAAAACTTCCCAGTGGACATCGTCACATTTCAAAGGCATGCAGTTCTCAACCTGCTCAATATGCTCAACAAGTATCTGCTTGATATTTGGACACCACTTCACTGTCCATTTTAGCTATGCCCTATCTTTGTTCTATTACATTTTGATGATGAGATACTGCATAATCCATTCAAGCATGGTCAACACTGGTTTTTCCCTAGCTTTTAAAATATTGTTGTTGAATACGTTGAATACTTCACACCCATTATTCAACACTAGATCACATTTAGGATCATAGCTGAAATGACTTTTACTCCATTGCTCAGGTGGCTTACCACTTACCTAGACAGATGCCTCAGGTGATAGAGACTCCATTTGTTTCATCTAGTTTCTGAAATCTCCAACAGTGGTTACATTAGCACACCTCCACAAAGCATTTTTTTTTTTTAAAAATATAACCCCCTAAAACTAGCATTTTGGAAGTTGGAGTTCAAATGTCTCACATAAAACCTGTGAAAGCTACCAGTTAAAATCTCATTAAATGACTGAATCAAACGTTTTTGCTTATCTGATATAAATGTCCAATCTTCTTGTTCTTTAATTTCAAGATCATTCTTCAGCAAAATTAGAAACCATTCTTAGTTCTCCATGTTTCTATGCTCACAATTCCATATGCAATAGGGTATAGATTGTTATTATGGTCCACACCAACAGTTGTTAATAATTGACCTTTATCTGGACCCTTAAGAAAACAACCATCAACCCCTACAAACCTTATACAACCAGCTTTAAAATCCTGTTTACTGCTGAAAAACAAACATAAAACTTACTAAACTCGTGTTCACCATTCTCATTTTTCTCTGTTCCTAAAACAACTGTGGAAGCAGGATTAGACCTCAACAATTCCTCCATATAATTCCACAGCTTATTGTACCGCAGATTAGAGGTATCCTCAATTAGATTTCAAGTCCTTTGTTTTCTAAATGCTTGATGTTTAGAAGCATTAATTTCAATGTCTTTCACAACCCATTTTCTCCATGGTTTAACTTTTCTACCAGGATCAATCTTTAAGTCATCAACGTACTTCTCAATCAACCAAGATGATTTAACATTTTTTACATAAATACTAGGAGCACATGTGTGTTTAACATTGATTTCCTTGATTCTGTAAGAACTTGAATCATTCACTTGAACAAGGTGAATTTTCTAAGGACAACCTTCTTCCACACAAACCACATGAACTCTTTACTTATCATTTTTTTTTAACTTCACCGTCCTTTTTGTTTTGATTGCAAAAGAGGTGACAACTTTCTTAAACATAGGCCTACTGTTAAACACCATGCATATTTTAAATGAGGGATTAAATGTAAGATTTGAATTGAACAAAGGGAACTCAGCATCAGATAAATTATCATCTAAAACTCTACAACCATTAACAACATCAGCCTCGGAATTTTGATTATCCCCATCACCAGTAATCTCAGATTCATTATTTCTTTGGTAGCCGAAATGCGCTAATTTTTGTCAAGATGTATCACACCGTTGAGCCAAAAGGTTCTTTTAGTATTATAAGGTCTTTGGGCTCGTCAGTTTAGATAAATTTTTTACAACATCTGTAGAAAATTGATAAATCCTAGAAGCACAGTACCGTAATTGTTATTTACAATTGTTTTTTCACATAACATAAATTTACAAGCAATATGTTTAAGTTATGTAGTCTTGATACATCGGAGAAATTATTTTACAATCAGATCAACAGAAGGACAAAATGGTCTCTCAAAAGTGATTTAACAACCTGTAATCTTTTACATATTTATCTCTGCAAACATAACTACAAATTTTCTCTGATTCCCTTTTCTTCAGCATATGTTTTGTCCAAATGGGAATAATCAAGTCAAGAAATTTGCGCAGCATTTGTCTCTTCACCAAATCAAGTATATAGTTTATTGCAGCATTTTTTAACATGAGAGAGATAGGAAGAGAGAGAAACGGACGATGGCAAGAAGAAAGGGGCAAAAATTGAATAAGGCCAACAGCAAGAGTGTAAAATAGAATGGGTAATAAGACATTCTTGGGAATGTTGCTGTAAGAAAATGGCAAAAGCCATAATAAAAGACACCAAGAACAAATCCAAGGTACCAACCCAACTTTTTTATTAAAGTGTTCAGAAGATGAGATCTTTTAGTCGTTTCATTTCAGGGAAGGGAAAAAATAGTTTTAAAAAAGAAAAAAAAAATAATATATACTCCATAAAACAAGTCAAAAGGAAAAGTTTTTGAAGACCAATTTGGAACAAATTCCGTCAATCGATCATCTTCCAAGCAATACCGATCTAGGAATTTTATTCAGAAGGACCCGATTTTAAATGTTAAATTACGAGCTTATAATTTAAGTCAAAATGTTCATTTCATATAAAAATATATTTAATATAAATATAAATATCGATATTGTGTACCATCAAGTTTTTAAAAATTTATAATTCGTATCACCCTCAAACTTCTATAAAAATAAACAAAAAAGAAAAAATGATCGAGATTATATAATTTAAGTTCAACATTTATAATTTATGAAAAAATAAGTTTTTTTGTTAAAAATTTGATTTAAATTGAACTTTTGTAGCACATTGCATATCATTTTTGTTGATGGGAGCTTATCAAATGAGCATTTTTTTAAGAAAAAAATAGATAAAGTAAAAAATATGTGATTGTCACAAAAAAAAGTAACAAATCAACATTAAAAAATGTAACAATAACTACTCGATTTTATAAATTACTAAATGGATTTACAATTAAGAGATCGAAAGAGTAAATCATTATAAATATTTTGAAAAACTTATCTAGAAATATAAAATATGAGTATTGTTATTACATTTTTTAATAAATAAATAATACTATTGATTTAAATTAAAATAGAATAGAGAAAAGTTTTTAATTATCAATATATTGTAAATATTTTTTATTTTCTATATAAATTTTATTTATAGTATTTTATTTATATATATATATATTGTGTTTTTCAAAATAATGAAGGGGCCCACACGGCCCTGGGCCTTGTTTAGCTCCGTTATTGCTTCTTAGTTTAGGTGTTTCCCGTGCACTTCTATAATGAGGATGATTATAAGTTCAAATTAACTCTGATGATAAAACTTTTATAATGATGATTTTCAAGCACTTATAGTTTATTATGCCTGTTTTTTTACCTTTTTTTGTTTCTCTAATTACCTGTCTTGTTAATTACTGGTTGTGCTTACTACGAATTTCGTACAAAAGAAAATTCTAATTTTTGTATACATCTTCACTTTACCTATGTCAGAATAGGTTGACAGGTTAGCTCTATGGAATATAAAAAATACAAGGAAATGTAGATTTTGGGACATGATTTTGAAGGCCGCATTTAATGGGCTAAATTTCATTTTTAGTATACTGTTTTGGTCATTTTTTTAGAATTGTCTATTATATAGGGCGCCTTCGAGAATGATCCACTAAGTTGTCATTTTAATAAAAACTCTACGAAAGCCAATATAGTGTACTAAATATGACAACTAAAAACTCTACGAAACCCTATGTTTGGTTCGAGGGAAACTGAGGGGAGGGGAGGGAATTTTATAATTTTCCCTTGTTTGGTTCAATTTTTTGTAGGAGGAAGGATTGATATTTTCCCTTCAAATCCCTCCTCCGAGGGAAAATCTCCTCCCCTCCAAAAGTGGAGGAATTTGGAGGGGAGGAAAATTTTTAACACATAAATGACTATATTATCCTTTATGTATAAATTATTTTATTATTTTGTTTCTTACATCATTAAGGATATAATTGTCATTTCTACAATATTTTCCTTCCCCTCCATTATTCTAACCAAACAAGGTTTACCATTTTCCCTCCACTCCCCTCCTACAAAATCCCTCCAAATCCCTCCAAACAAGGTAAAATTATTTTACATCACCTCCCCTCCCCTCCCCTTCCTTCCATTAAAATCCCTCCCCTCCCCTCCCCCTCAGTTGAACCAAACATAGCTTAGTCACTATGTTGGTTATTGTACAAATTCGGTTTTTCTATAGAACAATCCGATTGTTTTTCTTATGGAACAATCTGCCTCTTATGTGTATTAAAACAAAATCCATGTCATTTTTTATTTATTTTTATTTCAAATAAGATAAGAAAGATGGACGATTTCAGAAACACCAGTCTCAAAAATCCCTAAATTGCAGAGTCGAAATCTGCTCCCATAGGTATCGGACGGACTTCCGCCACTCCGACCACGGCCTGGCCTACCACAGTCCCATCTTCAGCGGACGGGACCTCCGCCACCCCGACCACGGCCTGGCCTACTACAGTCCCCCAAAATCCCTAATTTCGACTGAGAAGGGAGCGAAATCTGCTGCAATAGGCGTCACTTCCTAGAAGCCATCAGCGGCGGACGGGACCTCCGCCACTTCGACCACGGCCTAGCCTACCAGGAGTTGCCGGAGCCGAAGTACATCAGCGACACATAATGGAGATCGCGCGGAGGATCTGGCGTCGGTGGGTTGACCGGTGGCTGGGCCTGATCATGGTCTGCAGGTTGACCGGCGACTTGCTGCTGGTCGTCTCCGCCATTGGAAGGTGAAATCCGTCGGGGTGCCGTCCAAGTTAGGATGATCCATGGTACAACTTGGAGACACAAAGAATTGAACTGATCATTCTGAAACAAACAAGTTGAGCCATTGAACTGATCATTCTGAAACAAACAAGTTGGCCTCTTCTGTCTTGTGCGGCTTATGCATTTGCATTTGCTATATCAAGACCAATTGGGGTAGCTATTGGCATTATAATAGAAAAAACGACTCAAGGCTTATTCATTGATATTGTTCACGAGTGTTTGTTTGTGTTATATTATGTACAATTTGTTTTGTTTTGGAATGATCTTTAGGCTCAATTCCTTGTGTATAATGTGGTTGATGTTGATACGATATGGAATGTATGAGTATACTGTGTATGTTCCACACTTTGTTGAAATATGATCAAATGTATTCATAGTCAATGGATGGTATATAGCTTTGCGACATAAATGAAGATGTTCGAGTTTTGTTTTTTCTTTTTGGAACATATGGTTGTTATGGTTGTTGTTGAATGGAAATCAAGTTGAGAGAGATGATACTCTGGTTGTTTGGATTTTTGTTTTTTCTTTTTGGAACATATGGTTGCTGTTGATTGAAAATCAAGTTGAGAGATGATACTCATGTGTTTGAATATGACAGTGTCCCTTGACTAATGTTAAGTTAACAGCCTCAATAACTTAACTTGAGGCTGAGCTGGTACACCAGCTAATCTTGGAGATAAAAGATATTGAGATTGTATGTCAAGTTAGCTCCATGATTCAGAAAGATAACAACCAATTGAATTTTGATAAGCTATGGTCTATCTAAGTAACATGAAGAAACCAAGATTCAGAAAAATCACAAGAAAAATATTTTGAGTGTAATTTTCATTCTGTGCTCTATATCCAACAACAGAACAAGATCAATATCTCTATATGCAATAACAGAACAAGAACAATATACAACATAACAATATAATATTCTACTGCTTGGATCCTTATAATATTCTACTGCTTGCATCCTTTTTAGACAACAGTGCATATACTTGAATATCACACAGTTATAGATTTCTATTGTTCATACTTTTGTATCAGTTGCATTGTATCAGGAAATGAATGAATATGGACCAGTGCATTATTTACCATCATAATTTTTGTTCAAACAAAATTAATAATATTGTATGGCTCCATGGTACCTGAAGAGACAATCCAGTACACTGACCCAAAGAGATACGGAATTAGAAGTCACAGCAACTAAATTTTACAAGAAAATGGAAAAAAACAGAATACACCGGACAATTTCACAATAATAAAAAATACTATAAGTAACAAAAATAATTTATTGTCTCATTAAAAACAAAACCATTCATCTAAAAAATTATTAACTACTAAAATAAATATCTCAAATATCAGAGCAACCGGGATTTGTCACTTTTGACATGTCTGGACAATATGGATCATCTTCAAGGTGATTGCTATGACTAGGACATTTGCGCTTGTCATGGCCTCTCTGTCCACACAAACTACAAGATCGAGCACTTTGAGATATGGCTTTCTCTTTACTCGACTTTAGACGCTTGCCACAACCTTTAGTTCGTATAGGATCGGGGTCGCATACAAGGAATGTCTTCTGGCCTTTGCTTTTACTTAATTGCTTGCTCATGCATTCCTTGTCATCAATCAAACCACCTCCCATTTCAAACCTTTGAGATTTTCCATTAGAAACTTGCTTCTCGCTCAGTCAACGATGCATCATCGATTAGCTCTCTTGTTATTTTCATCAGCGCACCACGTCTGCCTTGCAAAGATTCACCTACTTCAAAATCAAATGGCGTATCATAAATAAGATCACACTTTGCATCCTTCGTCCACCTTTTCTTCACGTACTTTTCAGGTACTAACATAACTTGTTCAACCCTCATCCAACATAGCATGTGTCGACAAGGATACCCTTCAAACTCAAATTTTTTACAACTACAAGCTATAAAATCTTCAAGGACATCATATGTCAAAAGTCGCTGACGTCGAGTATTCATTTCAATATCAAACCGCCAAACTTCATATACTCGAGAATCGTTTGAACTTGAGACCATTTTGCATATATACCTCGCACTTTCTTCGAACTCTTTCTGGAATAACAAAAATATAGACTTCGTATAAATCTCTGCCATCTGCTTTTCCATAGCGAATGTGTTGATCCGTGGCTTTTCATTTAGATCAACATGACTAGCCATCAATTCTTCATATCTATGATGTGCAATAGCCCTACTAAAACGAATGAAAAAGTCATTCAATGAACATTTTTTGTCCAGGTACCTTTTGAAGAATGCATGATTACTCTCAACTCGTTGGCTACTGGATATACCTGCAGCGAAAACACCCCTTACATAAGCAGGAACCCAACGATGGCGGATTTCATACATCTTTGACAACCATCCATTACCATTCAATTGGGAATCACTCATCAACGAATTCCACCTGCACTCAAATTCATTGGGAGTCTCAAAGTCATTAATAATACCACTTAAAGTATGATAGTGTAACTTATGAAGAACAGGACCGAGCTTTTCTGAAAATTTTTCAGAATGTGCTAAATACAATATCGGTGCATAGTTTTCGGAAACACCTCAGCCACAACATTTGACATAGCTGCATCTTGATCAGTGAAAATAACTTGTGGATGTGGTTGGTCTGCCATTGCTTTTATAAAATTAGAGAATAACCAAACAAATGATTCTGTTTTCTCGTCGCTGAGTAATGCACAACCAAATACAGTGGTCCGCCTATGATGATTAACACCAACAAAAGGTGCAAACACCATTCCATATTTATTCGTATTATATGTGGTATCAAAGACAACTGCATTTCCAAACACTGCATATGAATTTCTTGATTCACTGTCGGCCCAGAAACACCTGGTAAAAACACCATCCTCATTTGTCTCGTAAACATAATAAAAATTCTCATTCTTCTTCTTTTCCATTTCCAATTGGTGAATCAAGGTTTGTGCATCATGTCCACTTAATTCAGCTTTACGTGCTGCTTCTTTATTTCGGATATCCTTCTCCAAACAACCCATCATAGAGGGACCACCATAATCAATTTCAAACAATCTAACTTGTTTGCATGTGGGTATATTTGCCTCTGTGTACTCCTGGACAAGCGCTCTTTTGGTGGCTGATACACCTCTATGAGATCTCAACAAGTGAACCTTCCTAGGAGTAGCGAGCGGATGATTGTGCTTCTCTACAAAATGTTTCACCACCCAAATTTCATTTTTTTTTTCTAACACTCATTCGAGCTGGGCAGTTACAATGAGTTTCTCCACGCTTTCATTCCTTAGTTTCTGTCACTGCAATTCGTTTATTTCGGTACGCCACATTTGTCTTCCCTTCTTTAGAGCAAACAAACATTTTTCCCACAAGAGTGCCAGCTTTTGGATCGTTTTGACTGTTTTTAATTTTAGTGCTAAATCCTGCATCTTTAGCATATTCATTGTAGAAACAAAGAGCTTTTTCCGCCGATTCAAATTCCTGCCCTATTAAAGGCTTCACCGACGAATCAACCTGTGGTATGAACGCTTCATCTTGTTTGATCTCATCCTACGTAAACAAATATACCGAAGGTCATAAATAATAAAAATAAATCTACAATCATGACAAAAAAATCATATTTAATATTCTTCGTTTTGAATTCATTATAATAATATAATATTTTGTTAATAAAATACATGAATAAATAAAACATGAACTCAATAAACTGAAATTAACTCGAAACATTAGAAAATTTCTTTTACATAGTTGAATTCAATTAGGGTTACCTTATAAATTTTCAGAAAACCCTTGTATGAATGAAGATGCAAGAAGAAGAACAACCGGGTTACATCCAGAGGAGATGCGAGAAGAAGAATAACGACGTTTTTTTTCTTGGTGGCGTCCACAGTACTCCACAGTAAATGCAAGACGAAGAAGAGAACGACGTTATGTTCGCCCCTTTCTTTTTCTTTTTTTTTTTAAAGAAACAATAAAGCAAAAATAAATAAAAAATGACATGGATTTTGTTTTAATACACATAAGAGCCATGTAGGCAGATTGTTCCATAAGAAAAACAATCGGATTGTTCTATAGAAAAACTGTGTACGAATTTTAATTAAATTGTCAACTTAGTGGACCATTCTTGATGACGTCCTAGATGGTGGGCCTTTTTTGAAAAATGGCCTACAAAGTGGACTATTTTTGAAATTTTGTCCAATGTGATAACAAATTGTGCAAAGAGTTTCAATTTTAACTCCATCAAGAGGGATTTAATAATATAAACTTTTAAATGACACAAAAAAGATACAAAATGAAAACATAATAATTTAAATCCGTCACGCCATGAAATTTTTAGTAAACATATAATTATAAACTAGTGATCAAACTAGTTGAATGCACAATTATAAATAAAATATTACAAGTTATAGGTGTGAATATAACATTAAAATTATAAATTAAACAATAGTATATTTTTTTTTTAACATTTGATCATTATTAAAATTAAAACAATATTAATATAAATTATTTAATTATATATGAATCATTATATTGATTGAAAAGTTTTGTGAAAAATGTAGTTTTACAATTTTGAGGGATCATAGTCAATTAGTTTATTATTAATATTATTATTATTATATACAATTTTTTTCATACTTATGTAATTTTTATATAACATTTAGTTTGAATTAATATTAATTAATATATTAGGGTGGGGGTGGGGTGGGATGGGGGCTGTTTGTATGTGTAATTAATTGTGGTTAATACCAATTTGCCCTTAATTATTATAAATGCTAGGCTTTTTTTTATCGTTGGATTGTGGGATTGGATGGCTCCGATGTGTTCTTATTTCTTTCATTGAACACCATTCTCACAGAAGCGTGACCATATATATAGTCGTGCTCCGATGAGAATAGTGCTCAGTGAAAGAAATAAAAATAAATCTTAGCCGTTGGATCAAGCGATCCAACAACTAGAAAAAAAGTAAAAATCTTACATTCATTAAGGGTATTATGGATATTATAATTACACATCCAACTAACTCCCTGGGTCCCACGCCACATCACCATGCCATGTCATCACCCTCTCTACCATATGCACACCCAAAACACACGCACGACACACGCACAAACACGTGCACACACACACACACAACACACACTGTGACACACACCACTCGTCGGCGACTCACCTGTCGCCCTTCCCTTCGCTGTCTATGAATCTCACAACAAACACAGACGGTCAATTTCCGTCCGCCTTCATAAGAGCGGCATGCCGCCATCCAAGTCGTCGTCTCCATCGTCATCCTCCATCGCCAATTGAGATGCAACGGCACCAGAAAAATCGACCTTTAAGCTCGAAGGTCGAGCTTCAATGGCAGATTTGTATAAAAAACAAAAAAAAACATTGCCAGACAGCGGAAGAAGACGGTGACGCCAGCAGTCACCGGACAGAGAAGCTGACGGCGCGGGGGTGGTGGGAGCAGAGGAGTAACAGTTTGGGGCTGGGATAATATTTTTGAAAATTAGATAATGTTCAAGGACTCGATTGCAATTTTATGAATTTTGAATAAGTTTCAAATTGTTCATGTGCCAAATGTGTGATCTATAAAAAGTTTAATAAAGTCATATTAATGATATATAAAATACAAAAATATGTTGTGTATATTCACATTAAATATAGTCACACTGTGAGTGTGAGTACACAACATTGATAGACGAGACGCACATTAATAACTGTTTGAATGCACAATAGCGACCTAATTCGAACGAACTAAAATTTTCGATTTGAAATTCTGTATGTCGATTATATTATGTGTTTTTAATTTTAAAATTTCAGTTATCTCGATTAGATGTCGGATTTTATTTTCTTAAATAGTCAAATTGATATAACTATATAAAATATTATTATTTTTTATAAATATATATAAAATATGTATTTTAAATCAAAAAATATAAAATATCAAATAAAAACTATTTATACTAAATGGGATTTTATAATAAAAATAATAAATAAATTTAATTGTTTAGGTACATAAAAAAATCTCGCACTAGTTGTATTAAACAAGACACACATTAGTGATTGTCATACATCACAACAGTGTTAAACCAAATGTATTTTTATAATACAAATAATAAATTATTTTAATTCCTAGATTAATAAAATTAACCATCCGAAATAACCTAGTTATTTTGGCTCAATTTTAGTTTGATTTTGCACGTGAAAAAACACGCGCAACGGAATGCACAGTATTATTAAATAATATGCACATTAGCAAATGACATATTGCACAATAATTTATTTATTTTGTTTTGTTTGGAACAAATCATTAAAAAAAAGCATACACTACAAATGCACAATTGTGCTATACGGATTGCACATTACTGACTGCAACAAACGCACCACCAAANATTAATTTTAAAGTATTCAACTCAATAATTTTGGTTTTGACATTTTGATATAATATTGGATAATTGGTAAATTTGTGAACTTCTAAACGTGTAGACAATAACAATTATGTATATTTCGTCATAATATAACATATTTTTAATGTGCATATCGTCGCACATTAATGTGCATTTCACGTAATTGTAAATGTACATTTTATTTATAGTTATCGTATATTTAGTATTTATATAAATTACATATTTAACTCAGGGACTGAGATGTAATATATTAAAAATGTAGAAATTGCATATGGGTCCTTGCAACTTATTAAATTCTCAAACTCAAGCTCCTCATACTCAAATCATTTTCTAGATTCTTCCATCAACCCGTCGACCAACGCGACCCGAGGCCGACATCCAAATCTCCTCCGCCGTGGTTCTTCCTCCCTCTCCATCACCAAGGCCGTTGAAAGCCGCGACGCCAGATAACGGTGGTGACTCTGTCGTCCGCCACCTCCGCCTCATTCCTCCGCCGTCACGATCGAAACGCCGGCGATAGCCTGCTCCTTATGCCGACCAATGTCTGGTGTACGCCGCTCCCGACGTCGTGACGCTGCCGTCCTCGGCCACCTCAAAACAACTACGCTTTATTGTATTGTGGTGGGTCCCACATATTGGGTTGGTGTATACAAAATTACACAACTACCCTTAGATGCTCAAATTTGACCAATAAATGTCAAGTTACTTATATATTGTCATTAATGATTGACCTTTATTTATTAAAATATGACTTGATCGTGGTCATTGATGAGATTGATCTAATAGTCCAAGATCATTCTTCTTTGTGCTTTATTTCCGGACCGATTCAAGACCTTCAAACTGCGGCCCATAATTCGGTTCCGACCAACCTGTCTCGTGTAAAACGTAATCCAAGAGAACAACGATTCCCATTGAGCCGACCAGTAAATTATATTCTTGTTTGGGAAATATATGAATGTTGGACCAACTTAAAACTACTTTAAGCCAAAAAAAAATAATAATAATAAAAAAAAAAAACAAATATTGATTGTGAATTGCTGTCTTGAAAGTGAAAACCATTTAAATTTCCTATTTTAATTATTGATAGCACCACTGATATTATAGAGGGTACGTTTATGATTGTGAAAACATTAATTTTATTTCAGAGCCATCGTGGTCACAATGAATTTCACGTAATGGGCATGTCTGTGAGGTTTTTTAACTACATTAAAAAATAAAAAAATTAAATGGATAAAAATAAAAAGAAAAAATAAGGTGTGGACCAAAATCAAAAGCATGTATTTTGATAATACATTTTTATTTAAAAAAACGTATTTTTAAAATACATTTTCATTAAAAAACGTACGTTTAAAATACGTTTTAAAGTTAATTAAATTGATTATATTATGAACTTAATTAAATAATAAATAAAACGTATTTTTTATATACGTTTTAAATAATTCTATTTATAAACCGTATTAGAAATACGGTTTATAAATAGAATTATTTAAAACGTATTTTAAAAATAAGTTTTATAAATAAAATTAATTTTATAATATATTTATTGAAGAAAATAATTTTTAAGAAAAAAACATATTTTTAAACTCATAAAACAGTAAAATGTATTGTGCAAATACGTTTTTAACCCTAAACCAAAAACCAAAAAATGTATAACCGAAATACGTTAACGTATAACCTAAATACATTTTATTCACTAAATATTTGTAAAACGTATAACCAAAATACGTTTTATTCCTTTATTTTTTTTAAAAAAATAAGTTTTTTCAATTGTTTAACCCAAAAAACATATTTAAAATATTCAAAACAAACAAATAAACCAAAAATACATTAACAAATCAACCAATCTACCTTAAATACCACAACAATGGTTTTAAATAAATCATTCAAACAAATCCAAATAAACAATCCAACCAAATTCAAATAAACCATACTACATATTACATATTATAAGGTATATGTATATATTATATAGTTCATACTACATATTACATATTATAAATTATATGTATATACTATATGCTTCATACAACATACAACATACTACATACTACATATTATAAAGTATGTGTATCTATTATATAATAGATACTACATACTACATATTACATACTACAATTCAAAATACTACATACTACATACTACATATTTGAAAAAAATGCCTTTTTCTAAGGTTAATTTGATTTTTAAGCAAAATTTTAAGTTTTTCACATTTTTAAACCTCTATATCTCTCAAACGAAAACTCTTTTTACGAACTTTTTTTTACCACAACAATGCTCTCAACTTCAATTTCATGAACCAATGGACAAAACTGGAAAACGCATTTTTGTACTGAATTACGTCTATATGTACATTACTTGTTGACATTTTTTTAACAAAATATGTTTAGTCTAGTGGATAACTTGGTATTTTTTTTTTTTTCACTTTGGTGGGAGCTCATGGGTTCAAGTCCTCTAGAGTCTTATTTTGTTATGTTTTTTATTTTCTCCTTATACACATACACATGTGATGATACATATGTTTTTGTTTTGCTCATTGTACATGTGATGATATATGTATGTAATTTTATTTTTGTATATAATATATGTATGTTTACAAATATTTCTGTATATATATATATATATATATATATAGGGGCTGGTTCAAATAAAAACTATGTCTGGTGTGAGAACCGTGAGAACCATATTTGATGCTATTTTTAATTGTGTATGATGCTATTTTTAATATTACATGGTGCTATCATTTTCATAAATGATAATAAACACTTTGTTGCTATTTTTAATCAAATACATCCTAGTTAAAAATAGCACTAAAACACAATTAATCATAGCACTACATACAATTAAAAATAGCGGTTCTCACGGTTCTTACACTAGGACTTGGTTCTCATTTGAACCACATCCTATATATACTATATCTATATATATATATATATATATATATATATAAATATATATATATATATAACAATATTAACAATTTATTTTTAGATATTTATTTTTTTATTAATAGATTATTAAAAAATAATTAAATTATAGCAAGGTATTTCCAAAATACGTTTTAAAATTTGTACAAAAAAACGTATTTTCAAAATACGTTTTCATATGTTTTCTTTTTTAAAAAAAAATTATAGAAATATAAAACGTATTTAAAAAATATGTTTTATAATTATTATTTTTTATTTAACTTCGATTTTTTTTTTAAAATAATATTTTCTTTTCATTTTAAAAATATAATTATAAAACGTATTATGAAAATACGTTTTTTAAAAAAAATTAGAAAAACGTATTCTCGTAATACGTGCTTTTGATTTTGTTCCACACATTTTTTTTTTCTTTTTATTTTTGTCCACTTATTTTATTATTTTTTTTAAATAAATAATTCACCCCTGTCTGTGACATCTAGCAGAGAAATTAGGAATAAAATTTGTTACTCTATAGCGCCCACATGAAACTAATTAATATGTTTTCTAGGGCTCTTCAGTGATTTTAATTTTATGGACCGATTGTTAACTACGGTAATATTAGTAAATAACATTATTATTTTGTCAAAAATTAAATATAGCCATTTTTTCTAACCCATTTATGTATTCTCAGATTTTTAGAAATCGTTTTTTATAGTAAGACTAATTGTGTCATTATATATGACAAAATGACTATTATTTTATACTTTCACAAAAAGTAGTTATATTTAACCTTTAGTATGAACTAAATATGTCAAAATAATTTGTTTTAATTATATTTATAAAATTATATATTTCTAAAATAAACATTATCTACAATACATATATTTCATTTCAAAGTTTTAATTTTCTTAAAAGCCTTGGAAGTGTAATTATATGTTTTGTTTGATGAGTTGGTCTCTCTTTTATAAAATTTTTCAAGTATCTTAAATTTAAATAATATTTGATGATTTATAATATACATTAATATATATATATAAATGCGATGTTTCTAACTTTATGAAAGATAAAAATATTTTTGTTATTTTTAATCATGATACTCATTTATATTTTTTATTTTCGACACCATATAATAGCAATCAAATTAACTCTCTGAATACTTTTAAACCGAGGCATCATTTTCTTGAATATTTCTTATTATTCATTCACATTTTCCCCAAATCTATAAGAGCAGTACACTAAAATAATTATTTGATGGTATATTAATATATATATATATATATAGATGTATATATATATATATATTAATTTTACAAACTAATTTAATGTTGTATTTGATATTTTTTAATATTAGTTGTAATAAAACTAGAAGGGCGCAAAGTGGCTCGGTGTCAACGAGAGGTTTAAAATAGCTCGTCTGAAAGGAGACGATCCAACAAGAGGTTTAAAATAGCTCGTCTGAAAGGAGAAATTTAAATATTATTTATGAAGACATGAAATTATTTTTATATTATATATAATATAAATATCAAATTAAAAGTCGTGAAAGTTGATTGATTTTATAAATTATATATGAAAAATGAATACATATAATATATATATATATATTTTATATATATGAATTAAATAAAAAAATCTAAAAAATTCTTATGTTCATACTCGAGCCTAGTTGTTAAAATCCAGTACGTACATATGTCATATGAAGCATAAATTTATGTCAAATAAGTTTACGAAGCGTGTGAGCTTCACATTTAAACACAACACATTCTGGATTAATATATAAGGTTATATAATACAAATAATATATTTCGTATTAGTAGATAATTTTTCGTTCTTATTACATAAGAATTGAAAATTCTTTATTTTATCTTTATAAAAAATTAAGTTACCTTGTATTTTATCATATTAATTAGAGATTTATATTTTATTTATGGTTCTTACTTTTATCTTTCATTTTAGTTGAATATTTGAGTTACTCCTTATGTTTTTCTTTTATTTTTGTAACTGAATTTTCACTCATTTTTCCTCCTTCAAATCTTCTTTCAACGTTTCTTTATTGACACTAAATAAATTAAAAATAATTTTTTTTTTCAATATAAAACAAATTAATCTTATTTATCAATATCAATTCAAAGAATGTCCACATTAAAATAATATAAAAATACCTTGATAGTGTTTAATCAAAATCTAAATCCTTTATTAGAGAGTTCACTCAATCGATTCAAATTCTAACAATCGATATTGTTTCTACTGCGGTTATTTTGTTCATGGAAAAGGAGGTACTTTGGGAGTTAGGGTTTATGGAGGAGGAGCAAGAGATCAATCCAACTGTGGAGGTCGAGAATAGACTAAGGGCTTTCTCCCTTTCAGCGGTGGAGAACAAAATAATCGACATAGAAGACGGAGATGTGCAAGCTAGTGTTGATGAGTGTCATAAGAGTTTATTCGGCAAGGTGATAGGGGAAAAAAGTGCTAACTTGCAAGGGATTAAGAGGGCCATGGGGATTATATGGTAATTTAAATCGACTATGGAGGTACGAGAGCTTGGCAACAACTTTTTTCAATTCATTTTCGAAACTGACGAAGAGATGAGAAGGATAGCAAGGGGTACAAACTGGATTTTTGACAATCAGCATATCATTTCGAAAGGATGGAAGGCAAGGCTACACAGTGAAGACAACTGTTTTAAGGAGATTCGATTCTGGGTACAAGTGCAGCATGTTCCGTTGAATTGGCTTACTTCTGAGGTGGGTGTGAAAATAGGGAGAGTCTTTAAGTCTTGTTCGAATGTTTTGGTTAGTAATTTGGGTAGTCAAGGTGGGAGATTGATTAAACTGTTGGTTAATGTTAATGTTACTGAGGCATTACCTAGATGCGCCACTATCCGATTGGGGGAACAGATCATTACAGTTACCTTCAAGTATGAACGATTGGTCAATCTGTGTTTTTACTGTGGTAAGGTGGGTCACATTGAGAAAAACTGCAGCAAGAGGGTGAATGATATAAGAACAACACTTCCTTAAGGAAGGTCAGTATGGTGATGGACTGCGTGCTACAGAAGGATTACAGGGGCAAGGGTGGTTTAGTGGTAACTCCTCTTGAGGGCCATCTAATGAACCTGAGGTTGGGACGAGTACAGGGGCATCAAAGGATAATCAAGGTGGAGGAGGGAGGCAAGGTTCCATTGGAGGGATAGCAAGTTCTATTCATGGCAAGACTCAAAGTACAAAAGCAGATTCAGGTTCATTAAAAGTGGGGGAGACACAGGTGATGGAAACCAAGGGGAAAGAAATAGTTTTAGTTCAAACTGAGCATCAAAGCCACCCTATGGAGATTATGTCCACTGGGGCTATTGTTCCATTAGAAGAGCCACAAGAACAAGGAGGTCAGAGCACAATCCAAATGATCACTGGGGGGAAGCAGGATGAAAGTGTTGCAGAACCTGCAAAGAAAACTTGGAAGAGGACAATGAAGAAAGAGGGAAGATTAACCAGAGATGAAGATTCATCCTCTTCAATCGTGCCTATAAAAAGATACAGAGAAGGGGAGGGACAGGGAAATATTTTGACAATTTTAGACTTTGCTCAAGGTGAGAAGAAACTTAAAATATCCAGTGTACAGGTGGAGAGGGCCAATCTTAAAGAGCCCTCACATTCTCAATGAAGGCTCTGATGTGGAACTGTAGAGGTTTGGGTGGACCCTCTATAGTTCCCCAGCTGAAGGCTTAAGGTTCCATCACCCAACCTTTACATTTTTATCTGAAGTCAAGAAATCTGGCAAGTATTCAGCTCAATTATGCAGAAGATTGGGTTTGGTAATAGATTTTTTGTGGTAGAACCCAGAGGTACAAGTGGTGGATTGTTGTTGTGTTGGGATTCCGAGATAGAGATTGAGCAAATGTATGGTAGATCCTTTTTTATTGCAGTGAAGTTCAATGAACAAAGACAGACAGAATGGAGTTGGGTGGTTTTTGTGTATCTCAGCTATTTTAGGGCTGAAAGGGTTAGGCAGTGGGAGTATCTGCACCAGAAAAGAATTAAATGGGAGCCTGTGGTTATGTTGGTGGGGGATTGGAATGATTTGTGTACACCAGAAGATAAGAGAGGGGGTATTAACAAGCCTAGTAGTAGTTATTGAGGGTTTACTGAATTCATTGCTAATATGGGGGTCCATGAGTTACCTATGCAAGGGCTGCAGTATACATGGGCTAACAAAAGTGAAGAGGGGGGGATTTGTGGAGGAAGTTTTGGATAGAGACACTCATATTCATAGCTGGTTTAGGAGCTCGTCTGATCACTGTATGCTAGTGATTGACTCAAAAGAAGGCAATATAAGTTTCAAAAGAAGATTTCAATTTGATAAGCGGTGGATAATGAAAAGTGGAGTGCATGAGGTGGTTAAAGAAGCTTGGAGTTTACCTACTGAGGGAACACCAATGTTTGTAGTCAAGGAGAAGACTAAAAGAGCAAGGATTGCCTTACTGAATTGGAGCAGAAACATCAAATCTGAGAATACCAATCACATTGCCAAATTGACACAAAGGTTATAGGAAATGAGGAAAGCAGGAGCAGATAGAAATTGGGAGGAATGGGACAAAATTAAAAAGGAGTTGGATGAGGCTCATAGTGTTGAGGAAATCTATTGGAAGCAGAAAGCCAGAGCCTTGTGGTTGAAAGAAGGAGACAGGAACTCAAAATTTTTTCATGCCTATACAATCCAGAGGAGGAAGATGAATTCCATTGACAAGCTTCTAGTTCAGGGAGGACATATTAGCCAAGATCCTGCAGAGATTGAGCATACCATCACATCTTTCTATAAGGAACTGTTTACATCTAAAGGATCTTGCAATGGCCAGGAATTGTTGCCTTTCATTTCTCCATTAATCACACAGGAGTTGAATAACTTATTGATTGCCCCAGTGGATGAGGAAACTATCAAACAAGCAGCCTTCAACATTCATCCAGAGAAATCTCCAGGAGAAGATGGGATGACAGGGCTTTTCTATCAACAATTCTGGCCTATCATCAGTAAAGATGTATGTAATGCTGTTAGAAGCTTCTTTGAATCTGGACAAATGCTAAGGTACTGGAAACACTCTATTACTCTTATACCTAAATGTGTGAATCTAGTGTCTATATTACAATTCAGGCCTATAAGCCTTTGTGCTGTTTTTTACAAAGTGATCTAAAAAATATTGGCAACTAGACTAAGGCAGTGTCTATCTGGGTGTATTTCTAAAAATTAAAATTCCTTTTTGCTGGTAGACAATTAATAGACAATGTAATTATTGGTCATGAAGTATTTCATTTTTTAAACAGACACAAGAGTGGTAAAAATTTTTTCATGGCACTTAAACTAAATATTGCAAAAGCATATGACTGTGTTGAATGAAAAGCACTGCAGTTGACTACGGTTAGAATGGGGTTCCACAGAACTTATGTAAAATGGGTAATGGCTTGTATACAAGGTCCTACTTTCTCTTTTAATATCAATGGTAGCTGTAAAGGATTTGTATCAGCTTCTAGAGGTATCAAGCAGGGAGATCTTCTCTTCCCATATATTTTTCTAATCATCTCTGAATTATTATCTGCAAGGATTAACAGGGAGGTTGATAAAGGAAGCTTTACAGGTTTAAGGTTGTCCAGAGAAGGGCCCATGCTTACACATTTAATGTTTGCTGATGATACCCTGGTGTTTTGGAAAGCAGATGAAAAACAAACCAGGCAGTTGCTGGAAATATTGCACCATCTTAAAGACTTTACTGGACAGCAAGTCAACATGAACAAATCTACAATCTTTTTCAGTTAGAACACACCAGCAGAGGTGCAACATAGAATATGCTCACTGTTACCAGGGATCCAGAAACATTCATCTACAAGATATTTAGGTCTTCCAATGGGGATAGGAAAATCTAAAAAGGAAGCTTTTGATTTCATCTTGAAGACAGTGAGAAGTAGAATATTGAGCTGGAAAAACAAATGACTGTCAACTGCTGATAAGGAATTTTTTATAAGAGCAGTGCTTAATGCCTTACCAGTGTTTGCTATGTCTTGTTTTGTGTTGCCTGTAGGTTTATGCAAAGAAATATCTCAAATCTGTGGTCAGTTTTAGTGGAGTAGAGGTGCAGAATTTCAGAAAAGCTTGCACTGGATGGATAGGAACAAAATGACAATGGCTAAGGTTCATGGGGGTTTGGGTTTTCAGGATGTTCAGCTGTTCAACATAGCTATCATAGCCAAGCAATTATGGAAACAGAGCCAAACAAGTTGGTCAGTAGAGTGCTTAAATCTAAATATTTCCCTAATTCTTCATTGTTTGATGCACAGAAGAAGCAAAACTCTTCATGGTTATGGGCTAGTTGGCTTTCTGTGTTTAAGGTGTGTGGAAATTGGATGAGGATTGAAGTGAGAACAAGGAAAAACATCAGAATTTGGGATAAACATTGGATCCCAGATAGGGTAGGGATGGAGGTGCAGCTATTACTAGGGGTAGCCAGAGGTATTGAGTGGGTCAGTGATCTGTTGACCTGTGATGGAACACAATGGGATGAGCATAAAGTCAGAGCAACCTTCACTATTGAATTTTGGAAATCAATCTTTAACATTGACACCCTAGATCCTAATGCATAGGACACATGGGTTTGGACTCTTCAAAAGAGAGGTATATTTACAGTTAAATCAACATATTCCAGACTCATCACTCAAAAGTTTCTCAAACAGGTCACAGCCCAAACTAGTAGGGATCTGATGGCAGATATGAAGTGTAGAACAAGAATATGGAAGCTTAAGGTGATGGGGAAGCTTAAACATTTCATTTGGAAGTGTTGCAATGATATCTTACCAGTGAGCACTAATCTGGGGCTTAAAGGGATACAGATTGATCAGATATGAAGAATGTGTGGGGAGGAGGTTGAGACAGTAGTTCACATAATGTTCCATTGCAGGTATGCTGCTACAGTGTGGAAATTGGCACATGTCAGTGGGAAGGACCTCAAGCACAGAATCTTTCCAATCCTGGTGGAGGTAGATATGCAATCTTGACAAGAGCGAGACTTCTGAAGCACGCATTCAACTTTTAACGTATATTTTATGGTGGCTTTGGAAGACACGGAACTTATGGGCGTTTGAGGGAGTGTGGAGACCGGCCCACAGTGTGGTTAGGGCAGCTAAGCTGGATTGGGAGGCTTTCATCATAAACAATAAGTCATAGTTATTTTTTAGTGTAGGTATTTTTCGTCTGTATTGTGTGATATAACCATATAAAGATATACCGGCCCAAAGGCTTTCTACTCGACCAGATAAGTGGCTCAAACCGTTCACATATCGACATGTGAACCTGTCGACATGTTCAAGTCGACTTCCTCAAAGACAACTCTTCATATGATTAATGACGAGAAGCGGAAGATCCCATACAAGTCGACTTGCGGAAGTCGACTTTGTGCAGTCGACTACCCTGTAGTCGACATTCATTTGAGCAAACCAACAAGAGCGTAGCCTCCGAATAACTAGAAGATCCTGAGTCGACTCGTCCATGCTCGATGACGATTCCTCTTACCTCGAGACGTGAGGCACACTGACGACTTCATACACTTGTAACATACTCAAGACTTTGCATTCTCCAAAGGATAGGAAGGAATCTTGTGATGACTCAGCAGCAAGGGGAGACGAGTCGATCGAGGCAATCTAGACCTTTCAGGTCCACCGACCGGGGCATTTCGGGTACTTCAACTAAGTATTCACTCCTATATAAAGGAGGTGAGGTAACCCTAAACTCTAACTCTCATTCATTCTCCACTCTCCCTCATAGCTGCTGCGCAGCCTCTCTTCATCACTCTCATACTGACTTGAGCGTCGGAGGCTCTACGCCGGAAACACCTCCGGCGTTGAGTTTTTGCAGGTACTCTCGCGGTCTAGCAACGGCTCAAAGGCGATTCAAACATATCTGAGCTCCTTACCACCAGTTCACTCCAGATCTGAGAGTAGACTCATAATTGTGAATGGTCTAGTGTGTTTGTACGTTGTTGTTTGCAGTAGTTGTAATTTGAATCTTGGTTGTTGTTATGGTTGTTAAGGGCATAGGATCGATTGTGTGTAATCGCTATGCTCTTTAATGTCAGGTTATTGGATGTGTCTGTCTTCTAGGCCACAGTGCAGTGATGCTCTCATTTGTCGGGCTAGTTGTATGAACTCTGTTTATGTTAATGATATCGATTTTGCCATTGAAAAAAAAAAGTATTTATAATTATTTTATTTTATTTATATTTAGTTAGACTCGTGCATAGCACAAGTGTCTAAATGAATGCAAGTATATTTATTACATGTAGAAATTATAAATATTTAACCAAGTTTTTCTTTTATTTAATAAAAAACATAATAAATAAATAAATCAAGTATTTATAGTTATTTTATTTTATTTATATTTATTAAGACTTGTGCATAGCACAAGTGTCTAAATGAATGCAAGTATATTTATTACATGTAGAAATTATAAATATTTAATCAAGTTTTTCTTTTATTTAATAAAAAATATGATATTCGTGGATTGCATGGATACAAATACTAGGATAACATATTGTATCAAGTTGTGGCACATGTATTNAAGAGTACATCTTAAGTGTCAACTGATACCACAGGAACTAATAGCATAAAGATTGGATCACCCTCATTGTAATTGCATAGTCAACCCAGGGGTACAATCACCCAAAACAAAAGAACTCCAAAGCGGAGACAAAATAACTCCATATATTAATAAAAAACAGATACATCTGGACTAAAATAGAAAAACCAGAAGAAAAAACAAACAAAGCAACTAAACCCACACCTAAATGATACAATAAAGTCCTCTCCAGTTACCACCAAGTTTCACCACTGCTGCAAACCAGTCTACACAGAAATGCCCAACCCCAACCGAGAAAACAAATCCAGAAACTCTATACTCCGCTCGGCTATAGCTAGCCAGATCTGAGATCCTCGAACCCTACTGGAATACTAACCAACCAAACTGGCTAGCTCGCCTGTAGAACTTGGATTAAACTTACGAACCAGTTGAGCGTTCTCCAGACGTGGACCAATCTATGACTATTTTATCTTTCCTCACTGACATCGCTTCTGTAGCTCAGATCAGTATGGGCATTGGTATAGCCTTCAGTGCAAAAGACCACCGAAAAACAGCTCTCGACAGCCGAAACTCGCCGTCTACCCACCCTAAACTTCAAAAGAGACAGACCCCGTCACGGAAAAGGCACAGAGAGAGGAGGAGAGACAAGAGCACCAGCCCAGCACCGCACACAGTAGCTGAGGCCCTCCATCCGTTCGCCTTTAGTCGCCTGACAAAGACGCAGACTTGCAAGACTGAGGGGGCACAAATGTAACCTTTACAAAGTGTAAAAAAAAATTGATATTTATTCTCTGCATGTTCTTATATATTATATCATTCATAATTACATAAATTCAAATCTCATTAAATATATCTTTTTTAAATACCAATATTTTTTTTTCTTTTGCATTGGATATTCTTAAAACGTCAGCATTCGTGGACTTCTTTATAATAAAGATAAATATTGTATTAGTTAAAAAATCAATGACAAACACAATTTAGTAGCTAATGTTAAACATATAATTATAATTTAAGAACACCTAAAATTCAATATGTATCAAAATCAATGTTGAATTTTGTGGAAAATCGATTTAACTCATTTATGTATGTTGTCTACAACATAATACAAATACATAATGCAAACAACTTAAATTTTAAAAAGATTTCTATATAATTATTTTACAATATAATTATATATATATACTAATTGTTTTTAAAAATTGCACAGGGACTCGTGCCCTAATTCCGGCCCTGGTTGGAGGGTAGAAGGGACGAGAGCGCAGGCCCTGGCACCAACCGCTTAGAGGTCGGAGGGGGCGAGAAGATTAATTCTGGTTTTTTTTTTTTTAATTCGATCGAGAGAAAAGTGCACAATTTAAGTTCGTCATAGCTTGTAAGCAACAAGGGTTGAAATTAAAAGAACTTTTGGTATTTCAATATTGTTCACGAGTTTCATAATCAGAGTATCAATTGGTTTCGTACAGTCCTATATTTGACAACAAATGAATTCATTAGAAATTATCAAGTCACGTTAGTTTTAATTAGTACACACTCAATTATTATATATTGAAATGCATGTACTAATCCACTTCAAATATCCGTTAGACTACAATAAAGATTTGTCAAAACGGAGCGCGATTCCCGGTCATCCAACCTATGAAGATCAACCCCGTCTCATTCTTTTCTAGTTATATCATATTGTTAATTTTGGTTAATACATTAGGTAATCCTTATTCTTAGGGATGATTGTTTATGGATTCGATTAATTTTTATTTAGTTTGTTTTTTAACTATAGTTAATTTTGAAAAATGATTGAAAGTGATGGTTAATTAAAATTAATTGTTTATTTTTTTTTTAGATTTTTTGTTTTGTTTTTTGTTTTTGGAAATCGAACACAAAACTAAAAACCGAGCACTAAGAGAGAGATAGAACTTAGAAGATTTAGAGAGAAGAGAGAGATGGTGCAGTTGTGGTGTGGAAAAAAATTGTGAGGGGGATGGGGGGTTTATAGTGTAAATTTAAGAATTTAGGTATGAACAGAAGTGTATTTGAAAATTTTGAAAAAAAAAAATAAGTAGTATAAATTTTATTTGGTATGGGTATGAGAGTCGAATTTTAAGATGATTTTTTATGAAATCATGATGATATGATTCTCAAATTTTAGTATATTTCCATAAACTTGTCATAAGATATTGATGATAATTCGATAAATTGGAATATATTCCTCATGAAAATCAGAAAAAAAAATAAAAAATAAAAAATAAAAATTGAACCTGGATCGAACCGCGGCCCTTGCGGTTCGGTTCAACGAACCGGCCCTTATGTGGCCAGCTACAGGCCGGGTCCTCCCGCGGCCATGTCTGTGTTACCTTAAATTAAATGCACTGCCCTGCATATCATCAGAAGATTATCTTTTTTTTTTTTGGTCATTTTAATTTATTTATGGCCAAAATGATTGTGATTAAGAATAATAACCTACAAGAAATTATTGGAATCACAACCAAGCGTGTAACATGGATGCGGCGGCGAACGGGCGAAGACCTTTCATTTGTAGGAAATCAGAACTCATCTTTTCTTGAATTATATTATTATTATTATTATAATATAATACTACAGAAATTATAGTCAAACATAGCTGGCATATAGACCCATGTTGCCTTTCATTTAAAATGCCATACCAACACAACACGGCACATTAATTTCAGATACAAAACTTACTAATGAATCGTTTCACATTGCGTGCATATTAATCATATTTAATATTTATAAAATTTCTGAAAAATGATTTTCCTCCATAAAGAAATGATTTTTCCACCTTAATGTTAAAAAATACAACTGAAGTTAGAAAGAAAATAATATTAAAAATATGAAAACACGAGGCAGTGCAACGAAAATTGTTTCTTTAATTCACATTTTTCACTATATATAATAATTTCTTCCTACAACTAACTAATAATCACATATATTTATCTCCTTGTACAATAAAAACAAATAAATCTCCAGGGAATTAGGTCAAAGTTGTTGACATCGTGGTCAAATTTACGGATTAAAAAGAAAAAAAAGTTGTTGTGATGAATTAAAAATGTGATTATTTTGCAATTTAACTGTGCAGCCAGGGACAAATACTGCGAGTTTGATACATGTTCCAATCAGAGGTGGGTCCCGCTCTTGCATGTATCTAACATGTAAGTAATACTCACAAATCTGTTAAATTCATACTCAAAATCAAATACACTTCACTCAGTGTTTGTGCGTATCTCAGAGGATAGGTAGAGAGAGAGACAATCTTAGTGAGAGGAAATTTTCTGAAACCTGGAGAAAATCTCACACTACTACTCTCAGAGAAGAAAAAGAAACAAAGAAAAGAAAAGAAAACTGTATATTTGGGCCGGGCCGAATTCATACACACAGATATATGCTTATAAGCAAGTGGAGATTGAAAGGGTCCACGTGTACTTGTTTGCCGGCGACGATGTCATCTCCGGGCCGTAAAAGACCATTATATCCATCATCTCTGGTGGCGCTTCTCATCATCTCCCTTCTTTACATTTGGGTTTCCAGCAGTCAAACCAAGGCGGTGGCAATAAGGTTATTTCCGCCAAGTTCGAGGGCATTAGTGGAAAATGGCCAATCAATGGAGCCCGTCAAGAGTCAAACTCAAGTATTCAGAGAGTATTTCAAAGGCAGACTTTCGGATCTCAAAAACAACACAGCAAATAACAACGGTACATTTGCTGATTACAAAAGGAAAATACCCAGCTGCCCAGATCCTCTCCATAATTAATTACTAGACTTGTTTTATTAAGCTTATTTTTCAGGTCATATAACTTTTTTTTTTTTATTGTTTTCTTTTGGGATTTGTCCAAAATACCCACGTTTTTCCTCTTACATTTGGTTCCTTGCTAGTAATTATGTGGAGCTTCAAGGGGTAAACCGTGGGTATNCAAGATATCAAGAAATGCTTAAGCTAATGTGTACAGAAATAGTGATGTTTCTTTGAGTTGGAATGTACTACTCAATCATTAATAATTTGTTCAAATTCATATCATGTGGTTAGATATTATTCTTGCAATAATCATCTTTCAAATTGCAAGTGCCGCTTAGCCAATAGTTGACAAATAGACGGGGAAAAGGAGAAAATGCATTACTCGGTGAAAGAAAAATTTACGTCTAAAGTAGATTTTTAGAATTAATTAATAATCAAAGCAAAAGGACAAATATGTTCACTTATTTTCTTTTTTCTTTTGACTCTTTTCTTAGAAGAAGACAATTTTAATTTTTCTGGTAGGTTTTGGTGTGAATCGACAGTGTACAGGTGCGAAAGCAGACCCTTTTCACCAAAAGGGTTAAATGTTTTAATTTCACATAAAGACCTATAAGATTTGAAATTCCCAAATGACCAAATTGTATATGCCTTTATGGAGAACTCAGAAAGCAGTTTGTATTTTGGGCATTGCTTAAAAAGTGTTTTGTCCTACAACTATGGATGAAAAGGCTTCTCATTTTGATTTCTTGTAATATTTTAATTCAGTTTTTCCCCCTAAAACAAGTAAGTTTATGTTCTGTGCACTTGTCATTGAGTTATCCAGTACGAGAAAATTTAAAGTTATTAGTATTATTTTTCCCACAAATTTGAACACTCACACACACACACACACAAATGTGGGTGTGTGTGAAATTTGTGGCTAAAAACTCCATGGGCACTCCGGAGTAGGAAGAAATCAAACCCCTTTTTATTTCTGAATAATACAGTGTGACAGTTCAAATGTATATTACCCCTGCCCACCACAAAAAAATAACAAAAATTCTATTTCAAGAATAATTTTATGGCAAGTAGTTTAAGATTTTGGAAAATTTCGTAATTCACTATGCTTTTCTTTTTCAATTAATGTTCTTATTATCGAACCACACATATATTTCCACTTTTGGACATGGAACTCTTTCTACATTTGCAAGAGAATATTGTCTAATTATTTATTTATAGAACTTATTACATCATTAACCAATTCATAGTGTTGAAATTTATCACGTAGTTACGAACAAAAAGTCCCGAGATACAATTAAAGCTTGTTTGGTTGAGAAAAGGCAGAGTTTGGGTACTTGGGAGTTGGGACAGTGACATTGTGCCATCATTCTTCATATGCTTTCGGACAAGCGTAGTAATGGTGAATACTCAGTAGGCACATGTTATTTCATATAATTATTTCATAGTCCTTGTTTCCACCATTAAACGGGGCATTCGGAACTGAAGTAGTTAAGAGTCACAATTTCAAATGTTTTGAATATGAATATGGCTTTGAAATAATGTTGATGGTTAGGACTTAGGACATAATTTTTAAAAAAACCACCAAAAAACTTAAAAATAATAAAATGAAAAACAAATTAAGTAAAATTGAGGGGGGGCATATTATGCAATTCAAGTATTATAGTAGTTCACCAATTCCTATCGTTCTGATTCTTCGTATCTTGGGGATGTCTATAGTACTGCTTTTATTTAAACATATAATAGCAAGGCAAAGAAAAAGGCCAGGGACCGTCCAAATATTGCTAGCACGTTGTAGCTTATTGAGTATGATTAGCTTAATAATAAAACATTACGTCAGTTGATACTTTTGGCTATGATTTGAAGTTATAGTCAAATCGCATTTCAGTACTTAGCTGCCTATAAGTCTATCTAGTTGACAATTGTTTTTTTATTTTTTGTTAATTAGTTGACAATTGTTAATCTCTAGTTTGTTTGACATCTAATTTGGACTCTATTAATTCACATTAATAGTTTGTCTAATGCCGTCCAAGCTCTTCTTAGACTATGTTTGATAAAACTAGTTGACAACTGATAAGCTAGTTTATAGCTTATCAATAATTTTTTAGTTCATAGCTTATAACTTATGACTTATAGCTGAAAAACTAGCTTATATGATAAAAGTGTTTAGTAAAATCAGCTGATAAGCTAGCTGAAATAAGTTATAACTTATAACTTATTTGAAAAGCAACCTAAAAGAGCTTATCAAATAAGCTCGAGCTTTTTAGAAAAGCTCGTCCTACCAAACGAGACTTATTTGAATAGAGGGAGCTTATAAGCTAACCAAATAAGCTCGTCCTACCTAGCTTAATTGTCTATCAAACATAGCCTTAAACAATGAATAATGACTTTTTCTTTTTTTTTTTTTCTTTTTTTTCTTTATACAAGAGAAAGACTAACGCCAAGTAACGTAGGATTCAACGTTGTGAGGATAAGAGACGCCAATAACATCATGCTCGAGCCGTGGGACAAAACCGGACAATGGAGCTGAAAGAAGTTGGAGACCGAAAGGGCTCGAGGCCACCTGAGACGCCAAAAAGTCAACCACGAAATGATCCTCGCGAAAGATATATATGAGAAATCTTGACCCGCCAGTCTCGACTGAGTAGTTCTCATATCCCGAGAACCAAACCAGAATGAACACCCCTTAAATCTTCTGTATTATTCTCAAAACCCACGATGTTAGCATTGCCCACTTCTGCCTCAACCTGAGCATATCACATATCCCAAGCCATATTAAGACGGTGAAATAACCCCTTTAACTTTGCTCCTATGATAGAGCACATTCCAATATTTCGCATGAAACCTCTTAACCATTTCCCATGAGTGTCACGAATCAACCCTCCAGTTGAAGCCATACCCGAAGATTTGTTATAGGCCCCGTCCGAATTCACTTTCACCTAACCCGTCGGTGGAGCCACCCAATTGGATAAGACGCTGGGCACGAGAAATATCGATGCCACCAAGTTTCTTGTCGCTCTTCGCAATTTGGAGTACTCCATTAACGAAGCTATTTATCTCATGAACCTTATCATTGGCTCCTTACCAATGGCTTTTAATTCCCTTATTAATTGTGAATAATGACTTTTCCGTTCCAGAATAATTGAGCTATCAGAGGGATTAGATCAGACGGTCCTGAACTTTATGAGGCTTTGAACGGAATGTGCTAAATATTCTAATTCTTTTTTTTCAAATTAAGTTCATAATATCAAAAAGCATAATGTTATTATGCTATGTTTGGTAAAACTAGTTTAATTGATAGCAGATAAGTAAATTTTGAATTTATATCTGATAGCTAATTGATTATGACTGAAAAATTGGCTGATATGATATATGTATTTGGTAAAATTAGTTGATAAGTCAACTGAAATAAATATTTAACTGGACTCGTGAAAAAGCTATTCAAAGAAACTTATAAGATAAACTCGAGCTTTTTAAAGAAGTTCGTCCTACAAAACCAAACTTATTTGTATACAGAAAGCTTGTAAGCTAACAAACTAAGTTGTAAGTTAGCTTCTGATGCTTACCAAACACATTTCTAGTTATAATTAAAGCTATAAAATATAATTTAAGTTATTTTATATAAAAAAATATTGAGCAATATCTGAAAAATCACTAATGAAAAAGTGGAAAAAAAAATTTCCTTAAAAAAATAAACCTTTAAAACTTTAAAATTTTACTTTACTTATATATATATATATATTAAATTTATTGGAGTACATGATACTCAATAATAATTTCATATTTTTTTATCAGAAGTAACAAATTACTAGTTTTGATATTTAAGAAAATAGAATAACAACGATAAATTTAACCTCGCCTGAAATTGAGTTGATTGTGATTGTACTGTATGATCCAGGTCGTAATCCCCTTGTCAATCCTCCTGCTTTTATTTCTTCTAACGCAGAGGGCACACCTACGCACGCTCTAGTGTAGGCCTGTAGTCCCTCAATGATTCATTCTCCTTTTGTTGCATTCTGACCAAGGTCAGATATGTCTTTTCATGGGCCCTTGTGCTTGCGAACTTATTGATAAAACGCGAGTGAATGATTCAAAGTCATAAATCGGACCTGGTGGGAGGTGGTGGAACCAATCTTGTGCATGTCAGCGTAATGGGGCCAAAAATGCTCTACACGGAACTGAGTCACTGTACCTGTATAACACCGTCATATTCTCTAAGCTCTTCAATTGTCTCAAGGGGCCAGTTGACCCATCATAGAAAAGATTAAGCTCTCTAGATTCTTAAGGTAGGTCGGCGTCGAAAATTTCCCTAAAATTGGGGTGACCTCTCAAGCTGACTCCTCTCTTTCCCTCGACCTTTGCTTGCATGTCTCAAATCTGGGCTGTTAGTTTTTCCAATACTTCATCTCTAACTGGTTGTTTGCAAGTCTTCCTCCTTATTGATGACATCTCTTCATCTCCTTTCTTGTAGGTAGTGTCATGCGAGCTATTAGGATGCATATTCTAGGCTTGATCCATCTTTGCGGCTAGTTCTTCTGCAATCAACATTTGTAACTCAGCTCTCGTGATTGTTACTATTCACTCCTCGGGTCGCTGAGTATGAGATGAGACGTCCCTTCCAATTTCTTGTCCTTCCTACACTTGCTTCCCTTTAATTTATGCGCCTTCTAGACTCTTATGTCCTTCGCCAGTGGGAGTCACCGGTTAATGTCAGCTGGTTCGCGCTAACGCTAACAATTAGCTCTTTCCCTCTACAAGTGTTGACAACTCCCTTGGGCAAAGGACGAACACCAACATGTGGCTACTCAAAGACGCCAATCCCAACACAGTGATACCTGGTTTTGGACTGGGGCCAAAGGGCTCACGTCATTCTAAGTTTCCCTAAACTCCTCTGTTAAGTTTCTTTGTACTACCTCTCTGTCAGCTATATCAGGTGATCGGAATATGGTGAGAGAGCTCTTATTTCCTTTAAAGCTCCCCACAGACGGTGCCAAATGATGTGCCGATGGCTCGAATCTAGG